AACGTTTTAAATTTAACAGATATTACTATTCTGACTTGTGGCACAAATAATTTAACCAAAACTGAAAACGGAGATAATTTAGAAGAGGGGGATAATTATTTGAAAGTATCACAAGAGATCGATAAAAAAAATTGAAGAGTATGATTACCTCAACTGATCTGGCACTCTTTGTTGAAGATATTGTTGGTTGGAAGGAAGTATTTACAATAAAAAAAAAAGAAAATACAAAGTTTCATTACAGTGGCTTAGAATCCGCAGAGGACTCTGATGACAATAAATATCCCAAAAAGAGTGTTCTGCAATGTAAGTTCCTAGTTCCTTCGACAAAAATTGGTTCAACTAATTAGGTACCTATATCACATAAGGATTATATTTTATTTAGAATAAATGTAATTTCAAATTTTTATATTTTTTAAGGCATATACATATACAGGCATACTAAATAGATAAAGAAATCCAATTTTAGTAATGTTTATACAAGGAAAAAACACAAATAAGAAGTTAAAACCTATTAAAATTTTCAAATTTCGTACTGGTTTGAAGGTTGGGAAATGTCACTTTACTTTTGTTTACTTTAGAGCAGCCCAAAAGCTACAGTTCTCCTGTCACTTTCAGCCTGGAGAACTCACTTTCGGCCTGATAAATTGTGCTTTCACACCTAAACACAAATCCAAGTGCAATATTCGTATTTAGAAGTAGATGTCACATGTGTTTATATTGTTGAAATTTCATAAGATGTCATGTCTGTGTCAGAGTGTCAGTCGAACTCTTTATTTTTTTCATATTTTTACCTAATTCTTTTTGCAATAACCCATTAGTGCATATGATCCGATAAATCGAATGAATGTAATTTTGCGTTTTAAAGAAACCTCAACATAACCTTAAAGTTTATTTGTGGTATAAACAATATCGGCAACATTATTTCGTGGTTTTATACTGATAATAAGAGTTTTATTCGTGCGTAAGTTGCAAAAAATAAAATTTTTGTGAAGCATGGATGAGTCATTGTACAGCAGGAGGCGCGGAGGGTAAGTAAACATTATATAAATTGAATAAAAATAACTCAATTACACTTTGGGGGGTATAAATACGTTGGATAAAGATCAATTATTGTGTTTATTAGTGTGTATGAATACATTTTTTTTTGTTATGGAAAGTTATACGCTATTTATTTTGATTATCCGATATATCGGATTGTATGCAAACTAGCTAGGCATAGGTATACCTATGTAAACTTTGCATTTTTGTTTGTTTTAGATTATCGGTAGCAGAACTTTTAGATGAACTAGAAACTGAGGATGTTCATGGACCCCTTGATATTTATGTTGAGCCTCCCGATGATGGGGAAATAACTGAGTGCGACAGTGATGCCAGTGATGAAGAATGCGAGGGAAATTTAAATCGTCTGGGATCAAAGCTGCTAAGGGCCAATTGTGAATAAGAAATACGCCAAGAACTTTCCGAAAAAGGTCAGGGTACATCTGCTTTATCCAATAATACAAAGACCATTGGATACTTTGATTTTGACTCCAGTGACGAGGAACCATTGTCTAAAAAAGCCAAAAAAATAAAATCGACTCTAAAATCAGCCAACAAACCTAAATCGGTCAACCCATTAATAGATATAAAATGGGAAACTTTACTGCCAAAATTTGATATAAATACAAAATGTTCAGAACAACCTGTTTCATTAGAAGCTCAAAATAGCCAAATTCCTTTGGAATTTTTAAAACTATTTTGGTCTGAAGAATTACTTATAAAAATATTGGCAGAGACTAATCTGTATTCTTCACAAAAAAAACAGTAATTTGAATATGACAATGGACGAATTACATGTAGGTATTTCTTGGAGGGCTTTTGCTATCGGGATATGCAAAATATCCCAAAAAAAGAATGTACTGGTCGGGTCTAACAGACGTACCAAAAATATTGCTGAGTAGTTTGAGACTCAATAGATATGAGCAAATATTGAGAAATATTCATCTAAATGATAATAATAAAATTGATCCTGAAGATCGGTTGTACAAACTTCGCCCACTGATTACAGAGCTAAATAAAAACTTTAGATTTCATGGTGGCCTTGAGGAAAATCTCTCTATAGATGAGTCTATGATTCCTTATTACGGTTGACACTATGCCAAGCAGTATATAAAAGGCAAACCCATAAGGTTTGGCTTCAAAAATTGGGCTCTCTGTACCAGTAGCGGTTACATGATTGCTTTTGACATATATACAGGAAAAAGTGACAATGAAAAAACATTTGGTATTGGTGGAGATACAGTGGTTTTCCTTATTCGTGCTGCCGAAATTCTAGAAAAACAGGGATTCAAATTATATTTCGATAATTATTTTTCATCTGTGAGACTTTTCCATTTTCTCTCAGAACAGGGGTTTGCAGCAACCGGAACAATTCAGGACGACAGAACTGGAGAATGCTTTTTGAAGAAAAAAACGGAATTGGAAAGGCAAGAACGAGGAGCCTACGAGTACAGAACAGACAGCGAAAACAAAATGTGCCTAGTTAGATGGAAAGATAATAAAGTTGTCACTTGTGTTACAAACTTTGTTCCATTGTCCGAGGGTAAATGTTCGAGATGGTCAAAGGAGCAAAAAAGTAAGATTAGTGTATGCCAACCCGAAGTATTTGCACGCTACAACTTATATATGGGAGGTGTCGATAAAATGGACCAACTTATAGCAGTATATCGAACACGAATGAGACAGCGCAAATGGTGGTGGCCTATTTTTTGTTATCTCTTTGATGCTTCTGTTACAAATGCTTGGCTGCTGATGCGAAAATTACTTCCAAATAATAAAGACTGCTCCACTTTCCTTATTTTTAGAAGAAATCTTGCGAATTCACTGCTGGAGACGTACGGCGTACCGTCAAATCGGGGAAGGAGTATTCCAAATCCCTTGAAGGAAGTTAGATATGACAGACAAGATCATTGGCCTGACTATGTACCGACAGAAAGGCTGTGTAGGTTTTGTAACGGAAAAAGCAAATTTATTTGCTGCCAATGTGGAGTCGGTCTTCATCCAAGGATTGTTTCAAAAGTTATCATACTTTTTGAAAAAGTCCACATCGCACAGAATCCGATATATCGGATGGCGTATAACTCGCCCTAAAACAATTTATTTTTTCTAATTTTGACATTTAAAGTGACACTTTTCAAAACTCGTTGACGTTATCAAATGTCTTACTTTTCATCACCAGTTACGAAAAGTAAAATTTTTCGCAACTGGTGATGAAATAGTTATTTTCCTAACAAGTGCGCAAAGTGTTACTTTTCCGCACGCAAACACAGTTATACGAACGACGCGAAGCGGAGTTCGGATACGTGTTTGCGTGCGGAAAAGACACTTTGCGCACGTGTTAGGAACTAAATTTTTCCTACGAGCTTCATATCAGGTAGGTAATAACAAAATTTTTTAAAAAAAAAAACGATAATTTGTTTAATTATTTTTAATTAACTTGAAGGGAACCTATGCATTTATCAAAAAATTACATAACAAAAAAAAAGAACAGAAAATCCTCGTCAGAGCTGTTCATCTTAAAGCGTTTAAATTTGATGAGAAAGTTTGTAGATTTTTGCATATGAATAGAGAACAAATCTGATGTGTCAAAGTTAATTTATAATTGGTGTTTGTATAGATGTTGGCTGATATAGAAATAGAGGAAAAATTTGTCATCATGTGTCAAAGTCGACAGGTGTACTTATTGTTGCTTGACAATTATAATTACTTTTCGGCACTCAGTGCGGATAAGGCCTGTATCCGCACTGAGTGCGGAAAAGTGTAACTTTGAGCCCGGAAATGCGTGCGGAAAAGTACTACTTTGCGCACGCTCGTAGGAAAAGTAAATTTCATCATCAGTTGCGAAAAATACAGAAAAAAACTTTAACGCTAAACTACTTGAAGTATTGTTATTATATTTTTTGTAGGTACATATGGAAATTTAATTTGACCATGAACCAGACATAGGGCCAAATCATATTTGCTTTTTGACTTCTTAGGAATAATTTATTGTAGATAAAGCAGATTGAGCCGACTCTTCAATGTCACTCGGTACGTCGCTTCCTGAATTGATGGACATTAGAATCTAATAATAATTATTCTTTTACTCTACAAAGTTTGAGTGTTTTATATAAGAACAATATTAATTAAAATTGTTTACTTTTTCAAAAATTAGAGACGCAGACTTGACACCTCTATGCTTGACACTATTGCTTCTGTAGCAACGAAAAACGAAATACTCAACAAATAAACATCTCTGAACTCACTTGACGCTTGACAATAATTAGACATAATTATTCGAAGTATGTTTTTTATGTTTTTAACTTGAATTAAACAGGATCACATGGTCAAAATTAGAAAAAATATTGTGTGAAACACGTTGGGAAACACTATTTTTCGTAACTCTCTTCCTTTTGCGAAACTCGCTTCGCTCGTTCCGGACAAATCAGTTTGTTACGAAAAATAGTGCTTTTCCCAACTGGTTGCACAAATAACTATTTTGCAGTTTATTTTTTTTACAAGCTTTTATTTAGCTTCACATGTTCTGTCTAACTATCTAACTATCAAATCTTGTGAAGCGTTTCTGACACACTTCCCATTATCCGATTTGGATGAAATTTGGTACACACATAGTGGTCCCATGACAATACAACATTAACACGTTGACGGACATCGACGTCCATGTCATTATTGGTTCCACGGACACTTGCAATTTTCGACGGCCCATGCCGTCGTCATCAAATTCATAGTTTGCAAGCATCGACGGTGCTTGCCGTCGATTTACCATGTAGAACTATGCAAAGTGTCCCAGTAAACAACACGAGGCGGGGAAAATCTTTTGATTGGCTCATTTTCATATGGTGATTTGCGTAGGGGGAGAAGGCGCGCATCAGGCCGTTGTGAGCATTTGCAAGCACGTGTTTTCGGCAATTACAATGTGGTTTGTGTTGATCTATCGTTATCGTTAGTTTGTGTTGTTGAAAATGGATGAAAAAGAGGAAAAGCGTCTTTTACAGTGGTATAATGAGATTGACAGTGATGATGATAATTATTTGAGTAAACTTGCTGGGAGCCAAAGCTCATCAAGTAGCGATATAGAACGTAGTTCTGATATAGAACGTTCAATAAGTTTTAGTGAGGATGATGATGATTCCATTAGGGATCCAAATTTTGAAAGTGAAGAATGCTCAGAATCGGACTCAGGAGAGGACATAATAGAAGGTAAAAATAATAAATTATGAGAAATAATATTGAATAGCCACAAAAATATTATTTTAGATGAAAATTTAGATGAATCTAATAGATCATCAAAAAGAAATAAGAATTTTGGGTCCAAAAAAAAACAGAAAGGTGGGATAAAAGTAGGAAATTTATATTTTTTGCTAAAAAATTATATTCTAGGGAATATTGTATCTACGAAAGTATCTGAATGTTTGAAGGATAATAGTAATGTGTCTTGGGATGTTCCAGGATGTTCGAAAGATGAGAATTATATGTGTAGGGGCATTCCAGGAGGGTCGAAAGATAATATTATATCTAGGGATGTTCCAAAATATCCAGAGAATACTAACAATATGTCAAGGGATGCTCCAGGGTGTTCCAAGGATGATAATAATATGTCTAGAGATATTCTAGGATATTCGACGGATGATAATGTGTCTAGGGATGTGCATAGCGAAGTAAGTAGAAATTCGGAGGAGCGCATAGAATCTGACCATGAAGGTAAGTTGCAAAATAACTTTCATAGGATATGAAAAAAATATAGATGTTATCCTTATTTTAGGACACAGTGAAGGTATTGGCGATAATGGAGAATGGCATGGTACTCTAAGAGACAATATAGATTTATTATTTAACGTCGCTCAATCTGGTTCTAGACAACATTTAGATAATTTTCATCCTTTTCAATCATTTGAAGTTCTGTGGACTGACGAAATTTGGAATTTGATTCTAGAAAAAACAAATGCTTATGGAGAAAACTTATTTATGCTAAATAGGCCAAAGCGAAAACATGAACGTTTCAAACTTTTTCGGGCGATTTCGATTGACGAACTGAAAAAGTTTTTCGGGCTTTGCTTCTTGGCAGCTCTGGTCAAATCCAGGGAAATTAGACACATGTTCTCCCATAATCCCCTATATTACCACCCAATATTTCCCGCTACAATGTCTGGACGGAGATTCGAACAGATTCTTAGATGTCTCAATTGTGCAAATAATGAAGCATCGGCCAATGACACGCTTTATAAAGTTAGTTCCCTTTTGAAACTTTTTGTGGAGAACTCACAAAGGGTTTATTATCCTAGAGAGGCCTTATTATTAGACGAGTCCTTGTTACTTTTTCGCGGCAGACTGAAGTTTCGCGTTTATATAAAAAATAAAAAAACAAGGTATGGAATCAAATTTTATGAACTATGTAGTAGTGATGGTTACGTACTCAATGTAGAGATATATAAAGGTAAACATAATGAGGAAGATGTTAGAACAGAGCCAAAAATTACTTCTTTAGTAAAACGACTTATGGGGCCATACCTGAACAAGGGACATCATTTATACATGGACAACTTCTATAATAGCGTTGAATTGTCACAAGAATTGTTAGATGAATATAGAACACACACCACAGGTACATTGAGATGCAACAAAAAAGGAAATCCTAAGCATATTGTGAAAAAAAAACTAAAAAAAGGAGAGCATATTTGGGCACGCAAAGACAATGTTTACGTGTCCAAGTGGAAAGACAAACGGGAGGTTCTTGCAATAACTACTGGCCATCAACCAAAACAAGTAGTAGTGAATAATCGTTATGGACAAGCAAGAAGAAAACCAGTGGAAATTGCTGCATACAACGAAAATATGTCTGGAATTGATAGAGCTGATCAGATGATCAGTTACTATTCATGTCCTCGAAAAACCATAAGGTGGCCCAAAAAAGTAATTTTCCATATTTTGGATATGGCTCTTTGGAATGCCTATCATTTACATAAGAACTACGCTAACAATAAAAAAAACTTACTAAACTTCAGAGAATTCATTATAAAACGTCTATTAGGCATTTCTACAGAGGAAACCTTAGACGGTAGGGATTTTGTGCGTGCTATCCCGAACAAAAAAAGGAAGAGAGCTGCACCAATAGAAAAAAATCCACATTTCATGGAAATAATACCTGTTCCAGAAACTTGCAAAAGAAAAAAATATTTTTTACGCTGCAGAATTTGCACAAATCAAAAGAAAAGAAAGGAAACGTGTTGACGTTGCAAAGTATGTCCTGATAAACCACCCTTGTGTCCAGGCGCATGTTTCGAGGAATGGCACAAATAATCTTCTCCATTAGTATTTTGTCTTATTTTTCTACTTTATGTATGTTTTTTTCTTCAATAAACGTATGTCAAATAAAAATTACCATGTGACGGATATAGACGTCAGTGTCCACAAACACTTAAATTGCTGTCTGCTGGGACATGACGACTATAACCGTCGTCAGTTTTTTCTATACAAAGAACACCAAAAATCATGTGAGCCCACCACTTTTAAATGTATTTATACTCATATTTGCCGATTTCATCAAAAAACGAAGTGCTTTTTTCGGCACCCCTCACTGTTTTCAGGTGTCCGTCAACGTGTTAAGAAAAAAATATCCTCCCACCCCTACCCCCACCCATTTCTATAGAAAAATGTGTTTTTGACACACTTCCCGTTATCCGATTTGGATAAAATTTGGTATACACATAGTGGTCCGATGATAATACAACAATAAGAATAAAATATCCTCCCACCCCTACCCCCACCCCCTTCCATAGAAAAAATTGTTTTTGACACACTTCCCGTTATCCGATTTGGATGAAATTTGGTATACATATAGTGATCTGATGACAATACAATATTAAGAAAAAAATATCCTCCCACCCCTCCCCCACCCCCTTCCATAGAAAAATGTGTTTTTGACACAATTCCCATTATCCGATTTGGATGAAATTTGGTATACACATATACACAAATGTTGTATTGTCCGATGACAATACAACATTAAGAAAAAAATATCCTCCCCACCCCTACCCCCCACCCCCCTTCCATAGAAAATGCGTTTTTGACACCCTTCCCATTATCCGATTTGGGATGAAATTTTGTATACATATAGTGGTCCGATGACAATACAACATTGAAAAAAAAATATCCTCCCACTCCTACCCCCCACCCCCTTCCATAGAAAAATGCGTTTTTGACACACTTCCCATTATCCGATTTGGATAAAATTTGGTATACATAAAATCTGTTTTTTTTTTTTTAAGATAAAAGTCAAACTGACATTATGTTGGCAATACAATGTAAAATTGTCCAATGCTTTCAAATTTTTTATGTAGAAAAGGCTTGTGTTGCCAACATAGTTACTAAATTTTTTGACTTGGGGAATTATCTTTAAAAAAAAAACAGGCTTTATAGTGGTCCGATGACAATACAACAATAAGAAAAAAATGTCCTCCCACCCCTACCCCCTCCCCCCTTCCGTAGAAAAGGAAAATGCTGTAGTTTTAGGATAGCGTTAGTTATTTGTACCATCTGGACAATAACTTTCCGCGGGAGGTTTTTAAGGGCTCGATATTGGATGCCATCTGGTCCGGGGGCCTTCTCGCTTGGGAGCCGGCGGATAATTCTTGTCATCTAGCCGGGCGTGACAATGAGTTCAGCGAGCAAGTGCTGGGGGATGGGGTATTTCCGAATGGCAAAGGCTGCCGCTGTATGCTCGATCTCCTCCTGTTCAGGGGAGTTGGGTGGGAGACCGGAATGAATACTCTCCATGAATGAGGCCAGGGCCTCCGCCTTGTCTGGGGCAGTGACGCAATCCCTTCCATTACTAGTAATGGCAGGGGTACGCACAGGCTGCCTCCTCATTTTTGACTGAAGGCGCCACAGAGAGTTATCTTGAGGACGAAGGTTTTGGAGAGTTTCTGTCCACTTGCGGTTCCTGAACTCGCTGATGCCATCTTTGATGGCGCCTTCGAGTTCCCGAACGCGCAGGCGATCCTCGTCCCTTCGGAGGCGTTGCCACCTCCTCCGGGTGCGATTCTTCAACGAGATGAGTGCAATGAGCTGTCGTGGGAGCTCGTCTCGGCCTCGGTGAACAGTCACCCTGGTTGCAAGGGAAGTTTGGGTTTGCTGGACATTCCTGGTCAAGGTTGAAACCTCTTGCTCAAGAGCTTCAATGGTGTCAATTTGACCAGGAATTTGGGTTAGAGTGTTGAGTGTCTGCCGAAACAGGGGCCAATTGAAGTTCTTGTAACTCAGGCGAACTTGTGGGCGAGGAGGATCAAGTTCGCCCCAGGTGAAAAAGATGGGTAGATGGTCCGAGCTCAGGGCGTTGATCGTAACTAGATCTGAAAGGTCCCTGAGTCCTTTGCTGATGGCAAGGTCGATGTATGTCGGTGTCATGTTATTGCTAGGATAGTGGGTGAGCGATTCAGTACTGAGGAGTACCAACTCCGGTCGGTCGTTGACGAAATCATTTAGGATCATACCGTTGGTATTTCCTCTATGATTCCGCCAAAGTCTGTGTCTAGCGTTTAGGTATCCAAGCAACAAGGAGCGAGAGTTTTGGGGGAAGAACGGAGTTAGGTTGGCTACTGACAGACGGGTCTGCGGGGCGTTGTAGCAACCATTGATCAGAACGCCATTCGCAAGCTGGATGCTCACGTGCTCAATGGCAGTTCGCCACTGTGGCATCCGCTTGTATGCGATTGATTCTCTGATCAATAGCGCCACACCACCCGCGCGGCGGTCGGCTCTGTCAGAGCGTTCAACGGAATAATTTTTCACCACGAGACGATCTTCATCCCCCAGCCATGTTTCCACGACTACAGCGATGTCGATCCTCTCGTGATGAAGGAAGTGGATAAGCTCAGCTAATTTGCCATTGAGGCTATTAGCGTTCCAGTGAATTATTTTGAACATTTTTTAGGTTAAACTTTTTTATTTCTGAGCAGAAAAATTGACGGCTGGCGTTGAACAGCTCCGCCTCGTCATTGCATTGCTCTAGCATGCCAATGTAATGGTCTAGGGCACGCATCATGCCGTCCATATTAACCAGCGACTCCAGGCGGGCAAATTTGGCCTGGAACGTCGCGAATGTTGCACCTAGATTGGAAGGGGTTTGATGGCTTACCTGACCGGGCACTACACTTCTTTCGTTTCGGTTAAGATTTACACCACTATCGCGCACTAAACCACTCGGAAAGTCTTGATCGTAATTTTGGCGTCTTGATGGTTGCATGGTTGGCTGTCTTGGGGGCGGTTGCCTCTGGGGTGGAGCAGCCTGGACCGCTCTTCGATCTCAGGCTGATTGTGTCGGACGTGGGGCGGGGACAAAGGTGGGTTTTGGGGCGTTCCTTTCGTCAAAGGTGGGTTTTGGGGCGTTCCTTTCGTCAAGCATCTGCTTGCGGTATTTGTATACCGGGCAACTGGTCGACATTGCCCGGTGTGGGCCATTGCAGTTGGCACAGACCGACTGCCTATCTCTGTTGGGGCAGTCGGCCGTCATATGTGCCTCTGCACATTTAGAGCATTTGCTCCTTCTATGGCACCCCGTCATAGTATGGCCCCATGTTTGGCACTTGACGCACTGGGGGACCTCTCGCCTGTTCCTTCTTTCCTCCCACTGTACCCGGGAGGCAAATACGGTTCTGACAGTTGTTTGTATTTTTGACAGAGTCCAATCTGCTGTTGTAACTATTAGGTACAGGGGATTGCCCTCCCCAGTGTTTTTCATTGGGTAAACCTCCTTCACCCTCATGGAGTATCTATCTGCTAGATGCTCCTTGATTTCGGCCGGTGCGTAGTTCCCCCTCATTTTCCTCATTACAAAGGCATGGGTCTTTTCGGAGGGAACTGTGTAGGTGTGGTATTCCGCACCGTCCTCGCTCAAGTGTCTGGCCATGCTGTTATGGTCTGTCATGTTCTTGGCGTATAGTATGACTGAATTTCTAGCATACTTTAGCTCGAGTGGCTCAGTCGTGATGTTGTTTGCCATCTCGAGGAAAGCCTTGTGGTTGGCTAGCTTGCCTTTGACCACAATTGGGGGGGGAAGTGCTTTCTTCCCTTTGGCTTTGGGTGAAGGAGGCTTCTGGATTGAGTCCGCCACCTTTGTCCTAATCTCCTCCTGGGACTTCTCCAGTTGGGAGACTTCTGGTTCCGGGTCTTTGGACTCAAGTACTTGGTACCTGTTTTTTGTTGGTACTTGGAACAGTTGTCCAAAGCCCGTCGCCTTGATGATGTTTGGGGTGGAAGTTGAGGCAGAGGAAGTTGCGGGTGCCTCTGGGTCGTGTGGGGGGGTAGGGGGCCGAGGGGGTGGTTTGGCGAATTCGCACCCCTCGGTGGTCTTTTTATTCTTCCTCTGCTCGGGGCTTTCCAGCTTCCTCTTGTTTCTGCTTTTGGATTCCACATATAGGTGGTTGCGTCTGATGTGTGAAATAACCAGGTCCACCATGGCCTTCCCCTCTTCCTCAGTGTGGGTGTCGAGGTAAGTATAGTGCTTGGAGCACTCCCTACATCCTCCTGCGTGTATCAGGAGGCGGGCTTTCACCTTGTCTACTCCCCTTATGGCCTCTCTTGACGAGGTGGTGGATGAGAAACTCCTGACACTTTCATTGTCGGAGTCGCTCATTTTCGGGATCCCCTCCGGGGTATCCCCTTGTTTTAGGTCACCCCCCTTACTTTTGGCTCGGGTGCCTATTTGTGAGTCGTCCCCTCACTTATTGGGAGCGTCCCTGCTATGGACGTTCCCTTATTTATAGTAAGGCCACGTTCCCTTACTTATTTATTATTCTAAGTCCAGCTCCCCTCACTTGCTGCGTAATTTTGTCGTGCCCTGTCTTGGCGCGTGCCCTAACTTGTCCTGTTAGGATTTTTGCTAAGTCCAAGCCCCCTTACTTTTATTTGGACTCACTTGGTTTTGTCACTTGGTTGATTTTGGTGTTTACCGTTCAAGTCGACGTCCCCTTACGTGTTTTCGGCACGGGATTTTTCGGGCGTGCTGTTTGTTGACGTGCCCTGACTTTTGAGTCGCTTTGGTGCCCTAAACGTTGGTGTGCCCTCACTTTTTCCTCTCTGTGTTTGTTGGATTTTGAAGATCTGGGTGGTTTGGAGGGACCCTTACTTTTTGCAGATTTGCAATTTGCGTAGATTTCTGGCTAATTTTTGGCCAAACTGGACAAAATTTATGTGGGGCGAAGCCCCGAAAAAATTCTGGATGAATACACTATCCAGAACTTACCCGGCGTTGACTTGTGGCACAGAAAACTTGGAAAGGTATAGGCACATTACTTGGTAATGTGCCGATAAAAAAAAAACAATAATAGTATTCGTAGGAATGCGTATAAAAACACTATTTGTTCTCCGCAATACGTCTATATGCATCAACGGTGCGACGAGAACAGATATTATACGAGTCTAAATCGTCTTTCGCCCGTGGTGCACACAGTACTTTTTGTGCAACCCTTTCGGAAACATTTAAAAAATTTAAAAAAAAGCTGAGCAGTTTAATTTAAAAAAAAAAAGACGGGGATCGAACCCGCGCTCCCTTCCAGAACTAATCCGAGAATTCTGAGATTCTGTGCGTCTTAACCTTTCAGCCACTCTCATCATATTCGAAAATTGGTTAAAATGTATTGTTAACAAAACCATTATTTATCGTTGCGAATATCAATAATTTTGAAATCAATTTTGGTTTCAAAATATTATATTTGAAATTAATACAATTGAATAAAATTCACAACATTTAATTTGTATTTAATAATTATAGATATTTACGTTACATTTATTGAAATTAAAAATAGGGTTTTGTTTATTATTTTGTATATTTAAGCTTGGTTCATAGATCCGTAAGCGTAACGGTATCGGTAGCCGTATCCATAAGACATATACGTAAGGGAAATAAACTAATGCTAAACAGTACTACCATTCACAGTCAAACGTAAGACATAAGCTAACATAAGCAGTAACCGTAAGCCGTAAGGAAATGGTTCAATTCCATTTCTTATGTTACCGAGTGTTGCCGCTACGTAATCGGGCGGACTCGGCTCACCATTCGTTTATTGTCGAACGGACAGACCGCCCTCAGCTGATTCTCGCCCCCTACAGATTTTATTTAAAATTTTGATTTCATTTGTATTTTGGTTTCGTTTCAATGTGTTTATAGTTTGTTCGAGAGTTTGTTTGTGTATTAACATAGAGAATTTTGAAGTTCGACGTTTTTTTTTTGTATTCAATGGCTGATGAAAGACTTTTGATAGATCTAATTCAACATTATCCTTTGTTGTATGATAAAGGAGTGAAGGAGTACAAAGATGCTAACAAGAAAAACAACGTATGTTTTTCTTTCAAGTGGAAGAAGCCCAGAGAGTCTGGAAGCTTCTGAGGGACCGCTATGGAAGGGAGAGGAAAGCAATGAAGAATGTTCCTTCAGGGGCAGCAATGGAAGAAAACATTTGGCCGCTTTTCAGAGCGATGTCTTTTATGGAGAAACATATGGCTACAAGAAAGTAAGTTTGATATCGCCATATTTGCCTATTTTCAAATAATCAATTCCTTTGGATAGTTCTTGTAATATTAAACACACTGTTTTATGGTTGGGATTTAAAAATAATATTTAAAATATTCCTACACCTACATTAAACTAAATAACAATATACCTTAAGTATTTTTCACTATGGTATCAAGTTAGAGTAAACCCGGGCAAAAGTCCGCACCGGGGCAAAAGTCCCATCGGCTATCGCGCAGCCGCCAATTGCGCCATATTGGTTTTGCATGTGATTGCCGGCCGAAGCTATCATAGGCAAGTACAACCATTATTGATTTTATTGGTGACGGCTGTAGTGTTCGTGAAAATGAGGTAAGTCGAAAATTACAGAATTTAATATAATTTTTTCATTGATTTTCACAAGGTTCTGCAACGTTATCAAAAATTGTTCAAATTTGGCATTATCATGATTTTGTATCCCATGGATAGATGTATTATATCCCATAATTAAACCACAGTTTTTCAACCAATGTAACGTGTAGACATTTTTATCCATCATGGAGTCAACAAGGGGCAAGAGCCCGAACGTTGCGGACTTTTACCCCTAGGTTCGGACTTTTACCCCCAGTTGCGGACTTTTACCTCATTAAATTGTATTTTTTTTTCCAGGAATTACAAAAGAAAAACCGATAGAAAACCGATAACACCCGATATGTTAAGAACTGCGCAACGCAGGCAGCAAAAAGGAGAGTCGATTAGAAGCATAGCCAAAGGATTTCATGTCGACGAATCGTCCCTTAGAAAAAGGTTAAAGCGTGGCTTTGGCGTTGAATCCTTGGGCAAGTTTAAACGAACCTTCACTCATGATCAAGAGCTTGCTTTGGCTGAGCATTGTCGGCAAATGGATGTTCGTTTTTACGGGGTTACCAGAAAATCATTTCGGCAGTTGGCTTATCAGTATGCTATTCAGAACGAAATTCCAACTCAGTTCAACCATGAAACAAAAATGGCTGGAGAACAATGGACACAATCGTTTCTATTTCGACATGAGCTGGCCTTACGAGTTCCTCAAAAAACCAGTGTTGGCAGGATTATGGGCTTCAACAAAAGACAGATAGATATATTTTATGACAACTTAACTCAAATGCTGAGTAAATTTAACTTTCCTCCAAGTCGAGTATATAATATGGACGAAACTGGCATTACTACAGTTCCAAATAAAGTCCCGAAAATAATTGCAACGAAGGGCAAGAAGAGTGTTAACAAGGTTAGCTCAGCGGAAAGGGGGCAACTAGTTACTGCCGTATGCTGTTTCAGTGCTGGAGGTCATTATGTACCCCCAGCCTTGATATTTCCCCGGAAAAGATTAAAGCCCGAACTATTAAATGGAGCACCTGCTGAATCAATAATGTTTGTGTCGGATTCGGGATACATTAATACTGAACTTTTTTGTCGCTGGCTAAACCATTTCCAAAAGCACGTGCGAGCTACAGCAGAGGATCCGGTGCTCTTAATTTTGGATAATCATTCATCCCATTGCACTCTTGAAACTGTCACATTCTGTAGGACCAACAATATTCATTTACTCAGTATTCCGCCTCATGCTAGTCATAAAGTTCAACCGTTGGACCGGGCTTTCTTCAAATCATTGAAAGATTTTTACAGCGACCTTTGCGATCAATGGCTTGTAAATAATCCGGGACGAGTCATAACACAATCTGAAGTTGGGAAGATTTTTGGTGATGCCTATTCCAAAACATGTACACTTGAAAGGGCTTCAAATGCCTTCAGAGCTTGCGGTATCATGCCACTAAACAGATTTATTTTTTCCGATGAAGATTTTTTGCCTTCGACTGTTACGGACCAAACAGAGGAAATAAGCGGAACAGAGGAAATAAGCGGACCAGAAGAAACGGTTACGGAAACTGTGACTGACAATTATTCAAGTGACGATGAAATTCCTTTGAGTACTTATAAAAAACGAATGAAAATGACGACAGAAACAAATTTGGAAAAAAAAATCTTGGTTACTCAACAACATAATGTGACTTCAATGCCTCCAACCTACGAAACTGTGAGTGAAACGTCCGAACCAGTACCTTCTACCTCCAAATCAGAAATTAACATTTTGAAACTAAAACGATCCATCTCCAAGCCAACATTAAAAATTGGAGAGCCTGTACCATCTGCTTCCGAATCAATAATGAAACATTTGAAACCCATAGCATCTACATCCAAGTCAGTATTGGAAACTTCAGACCCCATACCATCTACTTCCAAACAAATCATAAGATGTTTGGAAGTCACGCCACCTAGCTCCAAGGTAGTATTGGTAACTGCAGAGCCTGTAGCATCATCTACTTTCAAATCAATCATAAGTTCTTTAGAGCCTACAGCATCTATCTCCAAGTCAGTATTGCAAAATGCAGAATCCATACCATCGACTTCCAAACCCATACCATCGACTTCCAAAACAATATTAAAATCTTTAGATCCCATACCATCTACCCCCAAGTCGGTTTTGAAAACTGCAAAATCCGTACCATCGACTTCGAAAACAATAATAAAAATTTCTAAACCAAAAAATGCTGACAAAGAAAATTCCAATGTCCTAAAATCACCCAGCGATATTCTACCATATCCAAAGATCAAAGAACACAGAACAAGACAGAGAAAAGGAAAAAAGTCAACAATATTAACATCTACCCCAAATAAAGAGGAGCTAGAAAACGAATTGCAGAAGAAGTTAGAAAAAGACCGAAAAAAACGAGGTAAAAAATTCTTGACTTCAACGAAGAATATAAAGGAACTACAAAACACTGAAGAAGAACCAGAAGAAGAAGTATTTTGTCCCGCTTGCGACGAAAAATATCAAAATCCGCCAACAGAGGATTGGATACAATGTAATTCTTGTAACCGATGGTGGCACGAGAAATGCACTGACTATGACCATGGCCTATATATTTGTGACTTTTGCTACGATTAAGAGTAAAATACAAAGTATTTCTCAATGAAGCATGAAAATTTTTATTTTAAGTTTTTATGGAAGTTCATATTTTCAGTTTTCTAAATAAAAATATTTTCTTACACACTTCAAAGTTTTGTATTATATATTGAGGGAATAAAACAATTACTTTTATTTGATTTGTTACCTATTTGTGGGTGGAAAACATCATAGGACTTTTGCCCCTAACCTTTAGGACTTTTACCCCAGCCCATGGGGCAAAAGTCCTATTTTACATCATACTAATTAAAATTAGCTACAACCCCTAAATATATTTTCTTATTTTTTTTATACAGGCCAGTATACATGTCTTAGTGTATGTACACACGCATAATAAAACATTGTTCAAATTGTTGATGTTGGCAGAGTAATCAGCAATTTCTCATTAGGTGCGGACTTTTGCCCGGGTTTACTCTATTGACTGCAATAAAACTACCAGGTGTTTGAATATTGATACCTGGTATAATTAAAAATCCTAATCCGACCCTTCATTTGCATTTTCATTGCTAAGCCCTGGCAAAACACCCCCAGGTAATCATTTATTGTGAAAAATACTCACTTGATAAAGATTAGGTATACCTACCTGAGTGGTCCCTTCTTAAATAACTATTACTTTCTAAGCACATTGGGGCATGCAAAAATGCAAATTATTGTAGGTATACCACTTCAACCTAAGGAAAATTTTAAATAATAATTAAAATTATAATTATTCAAAAATATTAAAGTTGACCACACCAAGGGGGACGAAGGAAACGGCCAGTACGTCTAGAGAGACACCAAAAACAATCACCCCGAGCTCTTCAAAAAATACCAAACAGGTAGGAGCAGCGGAGGAAACTTTAGTGGTGATCAGCACCTACCTGCAGCAACGCAATCGCAAGCCCGCAGGAAAAAACTATGCATTTGGAGAGTATGTGGCACCCATTGCAAATGGCTGCATAATATTACTGCCCCTAATTCGGCGAGGTTGAGGCACATTCATCTGGTTTGCATCGAACATGTTACCAAATAATGAGTTTTTAAAAATGCCACCATCACTCTCACTTCCGTAGGCACCAATATCAACCAAGGTGAAATTATATTTTGCATCACAAGATGCCAAAAGAACAATGCTGAATGACTTCTTCTAATTAAAGAATTTGGATCCGCTTTTAGCTGGAGCTTGAATTGAAATGTGTTTCCGATCTAATGCCCCTATACAATTGGGAAAGTTCCAAATACCCTCAAAATCAGCAGCAATTCGTAGCCAATCTTCTTCTGTAGATGGAGGTTTTAAGTATTCTTCAGCTAAAACATCCCATATTGCTTTAGCTGTCTCCACAACTATGTAATGGACTGTTGAGTGGCCCATATGATATGTCCATGCAATGGTTTGCATAGAAGATCCTTGAGAGAAATAACTACAAAATAATTCATAACAGAAATTAATTGTATGTTTATTTTTAATTGTAAATACTCACTGCAAAGTAAGTGCTAATCTTTCCTCAGCTCCTATAGAATCAGGCAATCTTCTTTGTTTAATTAGTTTTAGAGTCACCATTTGTAGTAATTTATTGAAAGTAGCAACATCCATCCTCGTATATTTGAAAAATTGCTCTCCGTCGTTTGCCTTCATGGGTAAAAAGTAGGTTTTATAAAAACCAAGCTTCTTTCTTTGCCGGTTTATTGGTCTGGTTTTAAACCGTCTAGCTCTTCGATTTGCCTGCAACATGAGCTGGCAGCAAAGAACAACCCCCAAAACACAAATAACTTCGTCAAATTCTAGGTCTCCAATGTATTTATCATACTTTCAATTGCATATTACTATCTTTAGTGCAACCCCAAAGTTGAATTCCATATGCCCATACTGGTTTCAGTATTTGCCTATAAAGTAGTAACTTGTTATGTATGGTTAAATTGGACGTCCTTCCAATTAACCAGTACATTTTTCTATACTTAAATTCAAGCTCTTGCCTTTTTTTCTTAACATGTGCTTTCCAGCGCAATTTCGCATCAAGCGTCATACCAAGATATTTAGC